GAGAAGCCACATTGTCCTGATTGTTTCCCACTAGCCACCACTACTTGCCCGTGTACATGGAGATGCCCAGATGATACTTCTAGAAGGCCCATGGAAGCCAGGCTCACAAGCGTGCTCCGCAGCCAAAGCTTGGTAGGAAAGAGCCCCCGAGATCGCCACTGAAGCATCCCAACGTGTAGCGCGGCCCAAGGTCGGCCTCGGCAGCGTTGCGTGTCCAACTGGAAATGGGCCGACAAAAAGTGTGGTAGTGCTCCCGTCGCTGCTTTACTTAGCACGGACGTGGGAACCTGGAAACATTCCAGAAGTACCTACGCATGATGCAACGCGCCAAGAGGGGTCACCTGAATTCCAAGCTTACATAGGTCTCTTCTGACAACCCGACAACACGCCGGCGGCCGTTGCCAGTTAACTCTCGGGCCGCACTGGTGGCACAGACCTGGGAGGCCTGGTACCTAGGCGGTCACGTAGTCTATCATAGTAGTTAGTCACCTGCCCTGAGGCTGTCAGCTTTGCGCTGGACGGGGATTGGCTTAGTCCTGTCTGCTTGTCTGCATGTGTGTCAGATAGGTGGGTGGGCATGGAGCCGGCACATTAACACATGCAGCATCGAGGAACCGGTCGTGACTCCCACGCCGACACGCCGTGCTGGCGAGCCACCGGTGCAGTCCGATCGAAAAGGACACTGGATTCCGTTAGCATACCACTGTGGCGACGTACACGCAGCACCAGCCACGCAAGCCACAGGCCTCCAACTCATTCATTCGATGGGAACCTTCAAAGTAGGGTTAGCGATCTGTTTAAGTTTATCTGTACGGCGATCTGCTAGACTTGGCAGGGTAAGGTGCTGTCGATCAAGCCTTGTGGGCTCTGTCATTCCGCATGTGTCCTCAGCCCCTACCGAAACCCAATGTGGCTAACAGAGCTATCCAGTGAAGGTTTCTCACCGCGGCATGTGGTTTACTAACGGCAGTCGTCTACCACGGCAGTGGTCCTAGCCATCGGCCACACGTACTGCAAGGTCGCCGCTGTCCACCGGGGGGCTGTCAACAGCTGTCTCGGTAGTGGGACACTGCCCAGCGCCGGGTAAGGCAACCGAAGTCCAACGACCTGGTAAAAGCCAGCAGTTGGCCTGCCACGTGCTCCCTTGTCACACCACCCACAGGATACTGCTCAGGGCTTGTGGTGTAGTCCCAGAGCTCGACTTTTGGCCTCTAGCCAGCGACCAACGGAGGAGGCACAATAGCGAATGATCCATGCACATTCAGACCGCCCTGAGACAAAGTTCAGCAGCCGCCAACGGCCCGGGAACCAATGGCGCTCCGTTCAGTACGATAGCAGTTAGTAGTCAGAGGGTGCGCAACTACCTGTGTTGCTAGCCCGCAGCCTTGATTCGCCTGCTGCCGCTCGCTACTGGCACTGGACACATGGCAGAGGTTCTGGCGTCCGTGGTCTGGCTTTTGGTGTAGGGTGAGATAGGTCTAGGAGCGGCGTACCGCGGTGACACAGAGGCTTGTGGCGAAAGCAGCTGCACCGCCTCACGGCCCCCCTGGGCAGGGGTGCTCGTCCTCGGGTGAAGATGCAATCGGGACCTTTTAAAGATTTCGAGGGCGCGATGTAACAACGCAGGTCGTGCCCAGGGGTCAAACTGTCGTCACTCTACTCTGCGATGCTACGGCCTAGTCCTCGCCGAGATGAACCCGGACAAACAGAGCCAAGGCATGGCACGGCAGGGAAAAGGCGAGTTTCTGATGAAGGGAGGAGCTGAGGCACTTGTCTTATCTTCGGTGGCGTGCATGTCAATATCAGCCCCGGTGATATTGCACGATACAGCGTTGTAATAATGCGGCCTAGGGTTGGGCAGGCTGGGAGTCCCTGCGTGGGAAAAAGAATGAAAAAGCACATATGGGACGGGCGCAGCCAAAAGAGGCAAAGGGGTTCCGCTTCACCCAACCCTGAGTATTGCTGTCGGGCTTGGATAGGCAGTGTTTCCGGTGTGTGCGTGGTATATGCTCCGAGCGAAGGTTTAGCCTCTGCATAGTTGGGAATCTAAACCGTATATTGACACTTCGTGGGGTTCACGTGCGTCCTTCCTTGGCGGCAGACCTTGTCGACAGGGTGAGGAGCATACAGTACAGTACATGCAGGCCGTCCCCCCGATCTAGTATCACAGGTCGCCTAGTCCACGACACAAGCAATCTCGAGGATGGGAAGGAAGAATGTGGACGACAAGAGTTTGGACAGTCGCCGGCGCAAGTCCCACAATGCCAAGCGCCGGCACGGTGGGCTGCGAAGAGACATACAGGAACCCCACCGTCACTCGAAGCGAGAGCGGCGATCTTGACGCACATGTCTGCTCAGCCACATGAAGAGCCGGAAGAGCTCAAGCCTCGGAGTGGCCTGACGCACATCGAGCCGTCCAGGCCGTGACTCTGTGGCCCTCGGGCTGGAAGGATTGGGATGGGGTAGAGGGAGGGTGTGCCGCTGCCGTCGCTGCCGTTCGGTTTCCCTCCCCCAAATGTTTGAAGATGTCGCTGGCCTGGGGTTGCCACTTGGAAATGACTGATCAGTGGGCGGATGGATGGTGAGAGCAGGGTCGGTACTGTGTAGACTATTGTTGTGGATTGGACGGGTGACGACGAGTCGATTGAGCCGGGAAGCCTCCCGCGCCCCGAAGCTGTGGTACAGGAAGCAGGTGGGGCCCTTGTCCATGTGTCGACATGGACGGACCGTGGACTGGTGCTGTACACAGTACCACCAGCCGGGGCAGATACTTGGTACATTGCCACGGCCGCCGTGGACTGCCATCAGATGGATGGGTGGGTGGATGATGGGTGGGTGGATGCATGCATGCATGGATGGGTCAGGCTGGAGGAGCCTTGCAAAGCAGCAGATTATGATTGCGGTGACATGGTGGGTTTGTATTGCCCCCCCCCGGTCGCGACCCCTTCTGGTCTCTGTCTCCGAATGTCTGTCCGTCTGGCCACTGCTACCGCTCGCTTGGTCAACACACCGCGCTTGTCTCCTCGAGGATTCCGTCATCGAGCCAGCCATAGGATGACTTTCTAGGTGCGATGTATCCAAGACCAGCCTGATAGCACCACCCCTCCCCCCCTCGCGTGACCGATCCTGTGCAGAACGCCTGCTCACCCCCTCCCCGCTGACCTTTGCTTCTGTACCACATACCCACGCAGCAGATATACGCACACACACACACACACACCACACACACACGCTCACCTACTCACTCACTCACTCTCACACACATACTCACAGCTTCTCCTTGGCTCCCCTGCCACTGGTAACTGGGTACTGGGACTGCTACCGCTGCCGCTCCCGCGCCCAAGGGTCAAGGTCAAGGTCAAGCGAGGCCAATGTCGATCGCGCGCGCACACTGTTCTTTTTATGTCTGTTCTGCTGTCACCTCTTGACGATACAAGTCTACTTAGTAGACAGGTTTGTCTACCTCTTTTTCGCAACATCTCCCACGTCTCCAGCAGACGAAGGCAGTCAGCCAGTCCGCCGTCAAAGCTGCACACTGCACGCTGTGCTCTACACCCGCCAACATCTACCTCTTCTTACTCCTTCCAGCCAGCCATCCATTCATCCATCCATCCATCCATCCATCCAGCCAGCCCTGCCAGGCCCGGCCAATTTGTCTGTCTGTCCGTCCGTCCTGGCTATCTACCTGGCCACCTATATCTGAGCACGGCTCCACCTCCCGCCAGTCGGCATTAGCCAGCTACTCTATCCTATATTTCGCGCCAGACCTCGTCCATCTTGCAATTCCACTTCGTCTCGTCTCGACTCGTCTCGTCTCGTCTCGGCTCGACCTGGCCTGGCTGTGCCCTCTATACGTGTGTGCACGCACTACATATGGTGCCTTGCTCCCCAACTGCTGCCCTCGATTGCTGGCTCTCCCTCTCGACTTGACTTGTTGGTCTTGACCTGATCGGGCCTTTTTCTGTCAAGACCCTGCTCGACTTTTTCTTTCCTCCTTACCTAACGACCCTGGCCTAGCCTGCGCGCAAGCCAGTGCCCTGCTCATAACCCTGCCCTGCCCTGCCGTCTGGCGCAATTTATCTCCGCGTCTTTCTGCGTCCTCCTCCTCCTCCTTCTCTACCTCTATTCGTGCATCTATCTACCTTTCACACCTACACCTACACCCACACCTACGCGCCTCTACATTATCCTTCGCGCCGCGATCTCGCGACTACATCGTCCCCTAGGCCACGGACTTCCAACCCAAGGCCTACCTACCTCACGTTGCCCACTCGCTCGCTCACTCGCTCGCTCGCTCACCCACCAACCCTAAGCTTACGGGCGCTGTCTCTCGTTTTACGCACACCCGCGGCCCTTCAGGCAAAACAAACTTCAGAAGAAAAAGACAACGAGGAAAAGAAGAAGAAAAAAGGTTAAACAAAACGCCTATTCTGGACCAGGATAGCCTACTGCTTGATCTGCCACCAGCGGGACGCGGTTGCTTCTAAATTCTACCCGACAAAGTGCAGTGTGGACTGAGACATCAGGCGCATCCGCAGCCAAAGTTATAAAGAGGCGGGCAACGAGGTCATCAACCGAGAGACGCACTGCGCACCCACACCGGCCCTCACCACTCCACTCCACTCGCGATCAAGCCGACCCGGCCCGGCTTGAAATCGACTCGGCTCGACTCGACTCGGCCTGAGAGGCGCATGACCATTCACCACAATTCGCACCTCATTCAGTCCTGTTCAACGCGCGGTTCCGCGTGCTCTATGAAGTCGCAGCCTCGCCATTGCATCAGGCAGCCTTCCCCACATATTTCCGAGACACTGCAGTCACCGCCACCACGACCACCTGGCCGCCATCGCCCCAGCCTGCTTGGACTCTGCATCCTGTCTAGCAGCCCGCCTAACTCTGCCACCGCAACTTTCGCCGCACCTTTCAATCGAATATAGCCTGTCTACGCTTTTGCTGGGAAGTAATCCCCGGGCGAAGCGCCGACTGTGGTCACAAGCCAAATGTTCCGTCAACGGTGAGTAATCAACAGCACGTCGGCCCCTTTGCACCTCGCACTCCGTCTTTGCGTGCCCCTCATTGTTTGGATGGGCTGGGACAGAGTCTAGCGTGCACAGGCGCTCTCTCGTACCCGTTGGGTCGACGCCTGTGCGAGCCGGGGACGGCGCAGGATACGAGCTCGCGTCGCCCGTTGAGATCCAGACCATGGACGCTAACCATTGTCCTTCGCACCCACAGGACAAGCTCGCAAAAGCCAGGCGACGACCTGATTGCCAACTTCAGGCAGCATTTCCCTGAGGTGGCAGCAGGCTCGTCTGCCGCCCCCTCCTCATCACAGACGACTACCGCGGGAAACCCAGGAGCCGCACCCAATGCGCAAGACAGGTACGTGTGCGGTGCGGAGTGTTTGTTTGTGCCTTTGTGCGTTTATTGTGCGTGCGTGCGTGCGTGGGAGAGAAAGTGCCCGTATGTCAGTCATGTCAGGTTATGAACCGTCTCGACTCTGGCGGCTCCGGGCTTAGGCTACAGCATTTGAGTCTGCTTCCTCGGCGATCGTCTCATGTTGCGCCAGGCCCGGCTTGGCAAGATTTCCCCAAATCTGCCGCTGCAAAGTGCGAAGCCTGGGAAGCAAAACGCGGGGTACTGGCGGGTGCAGTGCCCCCTTCACCCTCTGAGACTCTTGGGGATTTTGGGGGAATCGGGGCGGCGCGCGACATGTCCTGAGGGGCAATTTGGGGCCACTTTGGGGCCCAGCCGCTCACCTTGGCTGTCTTGTTGTGGGCTCAGCCCTGTGCCCAAACGACAACCACCACCACCCTACCCTACACATTGTTCTGTTCTTTCTGTCTATTGTTCCAACTTTCTGTTGCCCGGCGGGATGGACAGTCTCGCCAAACAAACGTCCGCTTACTGACCGCCCCTATCCTCTGCAGGGCTCACGGCTTGGGTCATGACGCCTTCCATGACCAAGATCCCACCCCCAGGGCTTCCAACGAGCCCTGGAGGTTCACTCCGTCCCTGATGGATCCCAACTCCTTCGCCTTCACCAACTTCGCCAATGCTCCGCCGGGTTACTACACTCCCACGCCTGGTGGCACGAACACTCTGTATCATCCACAGGCCGGCGATCTTCACACCCCCACCCTGTTTGGCATGGGCCTAGGCACGCCGCTGTCGATGCCCACAACAGAAGCTGCAATGCAGTCCGGTCCTGGCTCTGGCCCAGGTCCAGTCCCAGGTCCCACCCCGGGCCCTCCCATGATGGACCTTGCCGGCTTCCACCACGGCCCCGCGAACCTGCACCCGGGCCAGTTCCATCAGCAGCCGCACTTCAATCCCTTCGTTCAGCCCCATCCGCAACAGCAGTCCTTCGCCCCCTCGAGTTTCGTCCACCAAGACACTGGCTACGAGACCATGGATCAGGATGGTTCTCCGATGGGTTCTGATCAGGGCGACGAGCGCATGGGCTCCATCGATAGCGCCTTCCATGGCCAGTCCCCCATGCTGGGCTTCCAGCCGAGGCAGCAGTACGGAATGGCCATGCCACTGCCCATGCATCCCTCGGCCGAAAAATACCGGTACCATGTGACCCTCAATGCGCCAACGGCCATGATAAAGCACGCCGATGAGATCCCAGTAACCTACCTCAACAAGGGCCAGGCTTATTCACTCTCCATAGTGGACACGCAGCCTGCCATCCCCATCGCGCCAGGAACTCGGCTCAGGACCTTTGTCCGCGTCTCCTTCGAGGATGAACAACAACGCCAGAAGCCTGGTGTGTGTTGGAGCCTGTGGAAGGAAGGCAGGGGCACTAATGAGGCCCACCAGCGAGGCGGAAAGCTGCAGGCCGTAGAGTACGTCGAGGCTGGCCAACCGGCCGACGGTGATGACAAGCGGACGAGGGTGGAACTGGAAAGCGCTTCTTTTGACGGCTTCTCGGTGATATGGACACCAGGTGTCAACGGTTCCGTTGAGTGTAACGTCGCTGTCCGCTTCAACTTCCTATCTACCGACTTCAGCCACTCAAAAGGTGTCAAAGGCATTCCAGTGCGACTTTGCGCCAAGACCAATGCTTTGGACTCAGAAGGCCCGCCTGCGACGGACACCACGCCGGAGATATGCTATTGCAAGGTCAAACTCTTCCGCGATCATGGCGCCGAAAGAAAACTATCCAACGATGTCGCACACGTCAAGAAAACCATCGACAAACTCAAGCAACAAATCGCGCAGGCCGAGAGTGGGTTGAAGGATTTTGGCAAGCGTAAGCGGGCTGGTGGATCACAAATGAAGGGTGTCGACAGTAGCCAGAGGCCTGGCAAGGTTCAAAAACACAAACGCACGTGGTCCATGTCCTCTGCCAGCTCGGCCGGCGGTGGGAACGGTGGCGCTCGGAATGCGCTCGAAGACGACCTTCATTTCAAATTGCAGACTCTTCAGGACATGTTCACTAGCACGCGACCAGTCAGCGTGCTGTACCTGAAGGGTGATGACCTCGACGACCCAGATGCGCACCCAGTCTCGTTGCCTGGCGATTCTTCTCTCGACCTAACGAAGGTTGAGTCCCGGGAAAGCACCACCTGGAGAGATCGCAGCACTCACAGCTCCGTGACCGGGTCGCTCGTGTCCCCATCTCCCAGCTCATTGTCGCTGCACTCAACTGCATCTGTCACGGTACCGGGTGTGCCATGGCAGGAACGTGCCGCTGTCGGATCTGACCCGTCATCACGACAGGGCTCTCTCCAGCCAAGTCGGGTCCCGAAAGCGGTAGACGCAGGTAGCCTCAGCGGCTGGATCGAGGCTCTGGGCGTGGACCCCTCTTACCGGCCACCCCCCGAGCGATCTGTGAAGCCGATCGCGTGCTTCTACGTGCTGAGGAAGGACGGGGCAGAAACCGAGGCGCGCGAGTATCACAGGGCAATCTATCTCATGCAGCGCACGCTTGCAGAGTTCGTCGCGCGCATTGCCTCAAAATGGAACATCGACGTCAAGCGAGTGTCCCGGGTCGTGCACACCTTGCAGAGCGGGCTGGAGGTCGAAATGGATGACGACGTAATTAAGGAGCTCTCCGAAGGGCAGGATATGGTCCTCGAGATTGTTGAGCAGAAACAGCCCGTAAAGCGCGAGTGGGAGATGTCACTGGACGACGCACCCGGAGAAGAAGACGACGCTGCCATGACACAACCGTTGCAGCAAAATAATTACGAGCTTCGGCTTGCCTTCTGAATCACGACATGAGGAGCGGGGGGAAGGTTTTCTTGATGGGCTTCATTGGACCAAGAGCTACTTAGACTCCAGGGTCTTGTAATCATTAGCAGGTCGGCTCCTCAAAGAGAGTTCATCATCGAACACGAACACGAACACAACTAACTATACACGGGTTGGGTGAATATGTGTTTACCGGCGTTGGCAAAAACACTTCTGAGATACCAAGTCCCTCGATGGAGGGCAGTTTTTTGTTCTTCTTTTTGGGAAATGCCCTCCCTGGCCCAGTAATCTGGCGCGACTCGTCTTTTTTTTTTCTGTTGTGGCGAGCGGCATTAGGCTCGGAGCATACGGCGTGCTATCCTGCTCGAGCAACCAAGCAAGGGCGGCACATCATGATCACAGCTCGCGAGCCGGGCGGGAGCCATCTAGGAGGAAGGGGCCGGGGTATGGGTGGAGCAGACGGACCAGGTGTGTACCTGGTGGTGCGTGCGCGCGCGCGCCCGTGGTTGATCAGGACACAGGAGTACGGCAAGGGCGCGGACCAGCAGGAACAGACGGAGTGTCATCAGTGATGTCGGGCGAGGTCTCGAGTAGGGTCTATTGAGGGTGGTAAAATTTATCCATCCGGCGCTTCATACTGGGTACATACAGACAAGCAGGAGCAGTCCATGTCCCCCAGTCTTCCCTCGTGTACCAAAATTCTGTGGCTGCCTCAAGGGAAATGAATCCTAGCGATGCTCAGCTGTGCGTATTAATTGTAGGCCGAAGGGAGAATATAATGGTGCCTGAAAGGTATGCTCATCTCCGACGACGGGGTCTCGTCACCTTGCAGTGCAGCCCGGTTGCGGCTTGCTGCTGCCGCTTGCAGAAACCCAAAAAATATCTATGAACGACTCTAAGTGAATCTGACCCTATACGTTGCCGTCCTATAGGATAGCCTTCAGTGGGATAACCTCCAGTAGACTGCCATCGGATGGATGGGTGCCATTCACCAGCCCCGTACCCAGACATAGCCGCCGGGAAACAAGCGCGAAGACAAGGCACGCCTTGTCGATGTCACTTGGGAACCCCGACGCACTACTGTTGCATCAAGTGACGCCACCAACGGCCGCCGTGGCCCAAAGAAGGGATGGACAGCGAGAATGGAGACAACAAGACTCTGGTCCGCCCTCGACGTGCAGACTGTCAGTGCTGTGCAGAGCAGTGCATATTCCGTGTGGGCGGGGTTGCCGCTCTGGCTCGGAGATTCCACACCGGATAGACCATTTGAAATTTGATGAGATCCCACGAGGGGAGTCCAGCCAAGATGCCTGTTCTGGGCCGTAGGCGGCTGGTGATTGGGAGAAGAGCCACGAGGCGCTAGGCACGGGTAATTTCGCCTGTCACTCTCATTATTTCACTCGAGAATTTTAGTGCCGGCGACTGATGCATGAAACAAAAACGCCTGGGTGTGTACCGCACAAGAAGCCCGTGACAAGAGGGTGAATGTATACAGGCACGTACAGTAGTCTGGGTGCTGCAGCGAGAGGGTTCTACGGGATGGGATGGGATGGGCATAAACGTCCACGACCAGCTCGAGCGTCACCCGAACGTCACTGAGCGTCACCCGAGCGACACTTATCACTGCCATACTCTCATTTTGCGTGAGACAGACAATAAGCCGAGGTGAGATTGGGAATCTGATTCAGCCAGGCTGGGGCATGCTTGACGATATTAGGCCCGGGTGCCAACTATCCCTCGGTCCACATTAAACTACACTTCGCAGAGAAATGACCTTCCTCCTGTGGGATACTGCCCTATAGAATGAGCTTCTATATACTGTGTTGTGGGATAGTGAGCACGAGTGAGTAATACACTTTCGGACAGACTCCCCGTGCCGATATAGGCTTTACTTGGCCTCCAACACTGTGAAGGGACCTGGCAATGGTTGGGAATATCCTTGCGAATTGGTATGGTGTTGGGATTCCAACTCGCCGTTGAGACTCAGTTAAGCGCTACTCGCCTAGGTCACCGGGAGACTTTGCCGCATCGCAGCTGTGGCATCAGAAGCACGCAGTGGTGTGCTGTGTACTGTAGTGTCTCTCGGTTCCTCGGCACAGAGTAGTATTGGGACGCGGGCAATGGTCACATTGTCTGAACGCGGCCCAAAGTGACAAACATCGTCATTCCGTTCCCAAACTGAGGCCGCCAGTCATCCTCGACAGTATACACGAAACTACGGGTGAGTCCAGGCCTTCCTAGCTCGGACGCCATGTAAGAAAGCTCTTGGGCGAAAGACCCAAGGCTCGAGGATCTTCAGAGCGGCTTCAGGTACGGAGTGGGGCTGATAGCCATTGACGAGGTGACGTCGAGTTAGTCGATCAAGCCACAGTGATCGACACTTGCGTTTCCCTAGAGCCACACCTGAGCCGTGGCGAAGCGTGCGCGTCACGGAGTCTGGGCCAGATGCATATACTGTGTATGCGATTGGGTGGCTTTTCTTTTCTGTGCTACAGCTGCAGCTGGCTGGACGGAGGACGGTGGCTGGCCCCCTTCGTACGTGCGAGGCGCATATCCAATGGCACAGGCAAGTCGAGAGAAAAAAGCGTGGCCCCTAAACGAACAGCATGGTAATGGTGATACAAGACATCGACAAAGGATGTTGCTATCTCGAGGGCAGGGCCCTGTGGGGGTGGCCAGACAGCCCAGAGTGTGACGATACTGCAAGACGACCCAGCGAGTAGTCTAGTCCACTGGATTGCTGCAGTCTAGAGCGGCAGGTACAGCTCTCGGCCCTGACGCGAACACTCGCCACACTGGCTCTGGACCGTTGGTGGCTTTCCAAATGGAAGATCAGAAGGGGAGGGGGGCGTGTCAGGCCGGGGACACTCAGAGGTGCGAACGCAGTGAGTCGTCAGGATCGCTCTCGACCACACGCTGACGGCCTTCGGTCACAGGTGGCCGGTACAATTCCTTACCCCCGGCTCCCGTCAAGTTGGGGGTCAAGTCTGGATGATCCCCAGATGCGGATAGCCGTCTGCCGATCACATGTGTGGCTTTTGAACTTTCCAATCTTGTTGGAGAGGTCGCCTCGGGAGCTAAGACTGGTTCTGTGGTCTCTTGTAATACAGGAGGAGACGCCTCGACGCTTCAGAGCCTGGTCTGGCGGCTGCTGCTCGTCCAATCCATGGGCATTTCTTGCACTGCATGGAAAGAGACCGGTGAATGGCAGCAGAAGCTACTGCTACGCAAAGCAGGCCCAGTCGTCAAGGAGATGGAGAGAGCTGTGTGCTGTTGTGTATGGTGGTGCTGGTTGGAGCGGACTCAGGTACTTGGCTCTTTTGTACCGTCCCATGTACAGCCCACACCACACCAGCAGATCAGCAAAATGGCCATGCTGGGGGCAGCTTTGATGCGGGACATTCATTTTAGCGTCACTAGCCACATCGTCTCCAGGGTTGCTCATCCGTACTACCTCGCTCCTGTATATTGATGACAGGATCCGAACGGTGCCGAGGCGGACCCTGAGGCTGCTGCATGTATGACCGCCAACCATTCCAGCCATGCTGTATGTTTCAGCTGTTCATGGTGGCTTTTGATGTGCCACAGTGCACCGGGTGTTTGAATTCCCGATGCAGTAAACGCAGTACACGCAGACATAGGTCGCCACCGAAGGGACAGGCCTTCGCCACATGCCAGCATGCTGGACCAACTGCATGTAACACGTACAAATGGAGCACTGTCAAGCCACAGGACGGAGGCTGCACCACGTCGAATAGCAATCAAGGGCCAATGGGCGTCTTCTTGTCGAACCTAGCTATATGTCCATTGGGAAATCTCGACAGCTTCTCTCTGCCTACCCAAGGCACATCCATTGGTCACACTCGGGGCTGGAGGCCGCCCATACTTAAGGTCCAGCTGATGCGCAGCTCGCAGGGGTTCCAGGCATCAGGATGGCACGACTTGACCAATACACCCTTTCTGGGTGGGATAATTGTCAAGGGGACGAACTGTGTCTTGTCTCCCACAGCTTGACCTCACAAGCTCCTGTGTCTGGTATGTCAGTCCGTGGGACGGTATCTTGGTACACTGCTTGGCAGGAAGACGGCATGAGCAATATTGCTGTTTTAATATAGCTGATCTTTATGAATGAATATTAGAATTGAATGAGAAACGATATTACATCAGACGGCTTGCAAATAGACCACTCATGCTCGAAGCGAGATACCTGACTGGACCACCCATCTAGTTTCACTTGATACCAAGTTAGTTTGCCCCCGGGGGCAGGGGGAGCCTGTCATTGGCTACCATGTGATCATGACTACTCCAACAATGAGGCCGATGAGCCCGGCGTGTACAGCATTCCGGGACGAGCCCGCAGTGAGGTATGTTGCCGAAGCAGATGGCGGAGGCGAGGGCGTATTTCCTGATGGGACCGAGCCGGCGACAGGATTAGAGGCACCATCGCCGGTCACGCCATCTAAGGAAGAGGCCCCAACTAAAGATACAGTCTCTAGCTCGTGGTTCTCCAGGGTCATACTGGCAACAGGCCCATCTATACTAGAGGGTTGACAGCCGTAGCATTCAGCGCCTGGAGTGAACCCGAGAACCGAAGTTTTGAACACGGATGTGTCGCAGGTAGAACATGCTTGGACGGTGACAGCAGGTGTAGGGTCTGGAGATGCAGTATTCGAAGTCTATATCTCTATGAGCATAGGTTCGTCGCATGGGATCAGATGCCAGGTGCTTACCGTTGAGACCGTCATGAGGTGCATGCCGGTCGGCAGCCCGAACTCGCACACATAGCAGGGCATACTCTGCATGGACGTGTGGCAGATGGAACGTGTCATAATCTCGTACGTCTCGGTAGATGTTGTCGTCGCTGCGCATGGATTTTAGCTTTTCGTGTGTATACTCATTCAGGATGCCTGAGTCACTCACAAGTCTGTCCATCAGGGCAGATCTCCACGACGTCAACCATGACGATGACTTCAATACCCACCCACTTGCCGCATTCATCTGTGGGGTTCGTGCCGCTGGGGTAAGACTGAACCAAGGTGTTGGACGTTGGTACTGTGAGAGATCCTGGCCAGCTGTAGCCACCGGGTAGAGATTCGGTGCTTTCCGTCACGGGGACTGTGCTGGTAGAGACCGTACTTTTCGAAACGGTCTCGCTGGTCACTATCGAAAAAGAACCCGGCTGCGTCGGGTTCCATGAATCCATGCTGTCCGAAAGCGATGAAGTCTGCATCGAAGAGGTGCTCAAGCTGGCTGGGGTTGATAGGACACCCGAGCCCCCTAGGCTCGTAGCAGCCCAGGAAAGCAGAGAGCTTGCAGGTAGCCCTGTTGAGCCTGGAGCCAGGGGACTGCTCGGTGGAGGAGCGCCGTATGTGGGAAATATCACAGAAGGTAGTCCTGCTGGTGTCGACGTTGACAAGCTGGCCCCGCCGGTGTCCGGAGACACGATGGAGGATTCAGTCGCGGGTAGCGATGACGTTCCTATAGGGCTGATCGAGCCTCCTCCAACGGATATACTAGTGCTCGGGCGCGAGGTGTCACTTAGAGCCAGGCTTGACGTTTCCGCCGAGGTGCTTGTGATTCCTCCAGTTGTACTCGCAGGGCTGGAGACCGATGAAACTGTCGTGCTGCTCTTGACCTCGGTGCTGTCTGAATTCAACACGTCCGAAGAGCTGACTACTTGAGAGGACGAAGTCACCGGTGCTGGGCTTGAGAGGGGTGTGACGGAGGACAGTGAGTTCGTAGTGGCTAGCTGTTGCCTGTATTAGTCTTGGAGAAGTAGGCTGTTGACTTATTCCCTTTCGCTCATGATACTTACTGATACTGGGCTCGATCGAGATAAAGAAACTGGTGCTGGATTCGAAGCAGTTGATTTTCCAGTTGAAGTATCAGACCCGCTCGATGGACCGGATGATGCTGGCAACGGAGGAACTGGGCGACCAGCAGATGGTGATGGAGCACTCTCAGACAAGCCCTCGGAAAAGGTAGGAATGGGACTGGACGAAAAGGCAGCCGAGCTCGTCACATCGCCAGTGGGTGAAGGCGAAGTCTGGTCAATCACTCCGCTCGAAGCCGAGCTTGCTGGTAGACTGGAGATGACAGTGCTTGATGTCGAGCTCGTTGGCTCTGGAACGGATACGGTCAGACTTATCGTGCTGCTCAGGACGGAAAGGCTGGTGGACTCCGAAATAGATGCAGCTCCACCAGATGAGGCGGACACCGTCCTGCCGCTCGAAGCCGGCAGGCTTGAAACAAAAGTGCTCGAGACTGAGCTTTTAGGTGATGTGATCGAGACACCCGTGCTTTGTCTTGTGCTTAGACTTGGAGAGATCACCGAATCTGAGATTGGAACACTCTGCGGCGGGGAGGTGGACGTTGTCTCAGCGGCCGAAGACGTAGACAAAGTGTTACTCGTCAAATTTGTAGGGGTTGACTCGACGGCTGAGCTGGGGACGCTACTGGCCAATCCCGAGAACACTGTGGTTATCCCGCTGAATGTTGCACTCGCGCTTGAAGGTGGTAGCGGCGCAGACACGTCGTTCGAACTTGAAGAGGATTCTGTGCTTGGAAACGGTGGGCCTGGGGCAGCGGAACCCGAAAGTGGACTGGTTGGAGATGACAACTCCGTGTATGGCCCTGTGGTTGACGATGTTTCGGCCGACGATGAACTGCCAATCAGTGTGGTGCCTCTACTTGATAGTCCAGAGGGAACAGAACTGGCTATAAGTGAGCTTGCTTCGGCGGATGAAGTAAGCGGTATGTTACCTGGGCTTGATGAGCCAGAGGAGACAGGCCCAGCTGTAATTGAGCTTGGCTCGGCGGAGGAAGAATCCAACAAAGTTGTAGATGATCCGAGGCTTGATGCGACAGGCGGGAGAGTGGCAATTGAGCTGCTGCTGGTCATGAAAGTGGTTCCGTGCGAGGTTCCAGAGGCTGATGAGTCCAAACCGCTGCTTAATACAGTTGACAAGGAGCTTTCGAGCCCAATTGAGAGACTCGTGTATGTGCTTGACACCGCAGAAGATGAAGTGACTGTCCAGGTCTCGACCTCGGTCGTAGTAAGGTCCGTGATTTGGGAGGTCGAGTAATTTGTGGCAATGGTAGTGACAATGCTTGTAGTTATCGTCATTGGCAGGCTCGTGGTAGGAATTGCGGGAGTTGGGCTGTCGACAGATAGCAGCGAGCTTGGTTCAGAAGGAGAAGACAATGCTGAACTTGGATTCAACGATGAAAGCACCGCTGAGCTTGCAATAGTCGTAAAAGTGAGCCAGGATGGTGACGCTTGAGGAGGCGACACGTCTGGGCCTGGTAAACTCGAGAGGGGTGAGGGATTTGAGCTTGATGATGGTAGTCCCGACGGCGAAGGAATCGAATTGGGACTGCTCGAATGCAAGACGCCGGTTGAGATACCTACGGACGGTGCTTCGGAGTTTGGAGGACTGGGCGACGCGACTCCTGATGGCGGTGCCCTCGATGATGATACCCCATTTGAACTAAGGCAAACACTGTCAGCGCCTGAGCATAAGAGGGTGGTAGCATTTACTCAGACTTTGCATTTGAAATCGAACTAGTCAGTAATGTAGACGCAGGCGGGTATGTTCTTGAAGAATCAGTCAGCAGTATGTCATTTTGCCTACCAGCAGGGCACCAGGCTGCAAGAAGGGGCGGGAGAGGGACTGGCTCTGTAGTGAAAGATGCTCTTCTACTTCGAATGTTACATACAAAGTCGTAAGTTCAGTCGTAATTAAGTCGGTAATCTGTGAGGTGGAAGAGTTCGTAGCAAGAGTGGTGACAAAGCTACTGGTGATTGTCGTCGAGGTCACAGGCGCTGAAATGGAAGCCGGAGGCGCCATTGCTGATCCCGGGGATGAGACCTGGGATGACCTTGGAAATAGTCAGTCCTCCTCTCTGTCTAATCGATTATTGGAGCCCTACCCAAGACTAGCACTCGACGCTGGCGGTGCTCCAGTGGCTGATGCGGCAGAAGGCATCGAGGATACACCCAATGAAGCACTGTTGCTTGATAGCGCTAGCTCGGTGCTGTCATAGAAATATTGAGCAACGGGCTGGACTTCTCAAGGCATAAACCAGACGACTTACCTGGAGACCACAATGGATATAGAAGACGAATTACTGCCACCAGAGGGAACAACCGACGATTCGAAGATAGAAAAGGCCGACGACACGGAGCCAGAGCTAATCAAAACGGGCTGTCAATATGATGCCGAATGGAGGGTAATTGAGCTACGGACCTGGAGCCTTCGGTAGGAACAATGGCAGAGACAGTTGATATCGCGACAGAACTTGATATGAGTATGGGGGACGATAGCGTTAGTACTGCGGTGGTGGCTCCCGTTTCCGTGGACATCGACGAGCTCGGCGCCAGTGACGATGCACCTGTAGGCACTGAGACGGTAGGAAACCCAGGCAGGGTTGCCGATCTAGTGGCAACGAGATTCATTATCAGCATATAAATCAACAAGTCTGCTCGTGCCGTAATCTCTTACCTCGAGGTCTCTGAAGATGCCAAAGCCACACTTGATGAGACAACGGTTCCGCTGGGCACAGCGCCGCTGCTTGTAACCGTGCTCGGCAAGGAGGCTGACGATAGTGGCATGATGGACTCTGTGGAGCTATTTTAAAATCAGCACGTGGTGCTCAATTTAGATGTCCAAATCACCCTTACCTGGAATTCGTGAACGGTATTGACGAGCTTGCAGGTGATTCCGAGGAAGAAGTAACATTTATCGCTGAAGCACTGGTATCAGACGCCCCAGCCGACGGAGTGGTCGGAACTGAGGCGGAGGGCGTCCATGACGCCGGAGGGACAAAGCTTTGTCTAAGATTAGTCGAAAGGCCTTCAAAGCAACTCATGTCTTCCCACATACCTCAAACTTGACATGGACCAGGACACGAAAGAAGATTCAATGGCACTGGACACAGTGAAAACTTCGGCGCTGGAAGAAGCCAATGCACCTGAGGATGATATAGGTGTTTCAGGTGTCAAAATACTATCAGAAAGTTAGGAATGGGCAGACTGAGTGAAGTCAATGGATTATGTCACCTCGAGCTTGCTGGCCGTAGTGATGATGCTCCAGTAGGCAGTGTGCTGCTTTCACAATTAGCACAATGACATTGAACTAGGGCTCCCTCGAAGTTCACCTCGAGTTGCTGAAGGCGACAGAAGATGACATGTCGGACAACTTTGTCGTGCTTGAGAGAACCGGCGATGAGCTGTTGCCGCTTGCTACAACCGGCGTGCCGGAGAAGGTCGGCGGGACACTACAACGGTGATCAGCCTTGGGCTAGGTATTCTCACAAGACTAACACACTCACCTCGTGCTGCCAGGCGCTGTGGTAGCCGGGCCTGTCGTGGCGGGGGCGACAGGGCTGCACCTGTGTCAAATTTGTACCGCAGAACCGACCGAAGAACAGAGTATTCCTTACGTTTCAGTCGTCATAGATAGTGAAGATGGAGGTACGGCTCCGCTTGAGAGTACACCCGAAGGAACAAGAAGAGTTGAAGGCGACGAAAGTACCGCAGTGGTGGAAATGGGTGCGGAGCTGCCAAAGTATCAGTCAAGACCCGGAAAACCCCCTTAGGGGGTGGGGGAGTCGAGACAAACCTCGAGTTCGTGAATGACCCCAGGGGCGAAATCGACGCCGAGGACGAGTCGTTCGCCCTGGGTGGGTTGCTGGTGGTCGATGCTAGCACACTTCAGATTTGACTAATTAGTTTTCCCAGATGAATGCAGGAGCCGCAGCGAGTCTCACCTGGAGTTCGCAGATACGGGCGAGGAAGCGGACGAGACCACTGTCGAACTTTTTTTTTGTTAGTCAGCGCGCTTCATGTTGCGCATATTGTGGCATACCTTGAGTTAGTGATAGACGGCAGGGACGTAGAGGACGGGGTAGGCAGAGTCGTGCTGAAGGTGGAATTCGGACCCGGTGGCCGACATACACCCGGGGCGACAGATCCATTGAGACATTTGCAGGATGACGAGCAGGAGCTCTCTGGCGTTCCATTCGAAGGGCCGTTGTCACATTCTTCCTCCAGGCTCGCGTCCCATACGCCATCGCCACAGCCAGCCGGCGTTGCCCCTTTGACAATGATGTAGGGAATTCCATTTGAGCCATCCGCGAAGTCCTTCTGCCCGTCCCCAGTGGCTCCTTGTGCAATGGCAAGCGGCTCGAAGCCGAAAAGACCTGTGGTGGGATAGGATGAGAAGACTTCGTGGACGCTACAGGACCAGTCGCTCAGTGCGGCATCATCGAGCTTGCCCAAGGCAGAGGAGTCAGCGACCAAGTGCGCATCATTGTAGCAGGCTAGCCGCCCGCGGACAGTGATGGTTCCAAAGTAGGACAAGGAGTCCACGGTGGCGGTGTCGACGGAGTCATAGTAGCAGGACAGGGCAAAGTATAGGCCAGTACCATTGCCCGAGGCAGAAAACAGAACAGCGTCATCAATGAGGGTCAGCGCGCCGGGTCGACTTGAAGAGTGGAAAGTGGGATCCGTGCCGATGAGGATGATGTTACCCATCACAGCAGGGCCCCAAACCGCCTTTGTCAGGTCGAAAAAGTCGATTGTGCTGACGGCGCCACAGGTAGGATCCGGGATGATGATGGCCTTATACTTCTCGAAATCAGCCGTGGTATAGCTGGCCCATTCTTCAGGGCTTGCAACATGGGCTGAGATGGCCGAGTCGTCAGCGTGGAATACATGGTAGCTCACTCTGGTGCTGCCCTACCTGTCATCCCAAGAACGGTCGTTGCTTGTATGTATTCCTGGGTGTCAGTCATGGTGCTATAGAAGAGGAGGTCCTCGGCCGTGGCGATGCTTGCCAGCCCGACCGAAGCCAGCCCGGCCAGTGAGCTAGATCGCATGGCAACTACTGGTAGATGGCAAAACAGGCAATGGAATATGGAAGAATCGCAAAAATTGAGAGATAGAGACAGCTCGAGAGAAGGAGAGACACAAGTTGGATGATGTTCAGAACAAGCGACTTTAACGAGAAAGTCGCTCAGTGACGACCAACCGCGCTTTATAGGATGCATCCGACGACGAGGCGACATCGCAACATGACATGTCTCGGGCAACACGAGTCTGGCTTCCAGGACTCACTGTGTCATGGCCAGAGCCACTCGCCGAGGGACGTTGGGTGGCGTCGAAGACGCCCCACAATGAGCACGGAGGACTCAGTTTTTGATTGCGAAGAATCAGGTTGACGGGAGACAAGAGTCTGACCGAGTGAATCAGCGCAATGAGAATGCCGTGGGCTGAGGCGACCCGGGCTCGCGCGCATGTTGGAATGACAGTGATTCCGAGAGCCAACATAGCCCTGGGGGTGATCGGCTAGCTGGAAACGAACCATTTTGGTTGTGGACTCTTGCATGTAATGCTTTGGAAGGCGGAAGCCATGACTATCATCCGGAAGCCTGACGATCAGGAACATGCCGAGGCGGCGAGTCCAGGGTAGAAGACAAGCTATTAGCGGGGGCTGTCAAAACGAGCAGACAGGTGCCACAGCGTCGAAGCCACGAGGAAGTCGCATGCAGATGGCGAGACCACACCCAGGGAGGTGGTGATACAGAGCGAGGGCGAGATTGCAGCCAAAGACAGAAAGCGGCGACATGTCTTGCGATGAGGGCATACACATGTACTTGATAGTTGCACCAGTGCGATAGAGTAACGCTAGACGGCTCATGAGTGCTCATGTTTGAGGCTGAACCGAGCGGTTTAAGCACTTTTAACTCTGGCAGGCGTGAGCAACAGCTAGGGTGCTTAACTGTTCAAGCTTGCTCGGGAGCTCTCCAGCTGAAATCTTGTACCTGCATGTGTCTCGGTGTTGATCCACGCCAGGTGGAGGCAAACACATGACCGACCCAGATCAGAAGCGCCGGGTTGTTGACTGCTTGCCCAATCCCACGCCGCATGAAGACAGTGCCGGCATTTCAGATGGATATCGGGCGGGCAAACGTGAGAATAGTAGTGATTGACGGTTGCGGACTGCTGAGCCTTAAGTCAGCCTGTAGAGATACCCCATATACAAAGTCATCTCGACCGGGCATTTTGGGGTACAACCAGTTATTCCACATCCGACAGGAAGTCATCCCACGCGAAGTTACCAATATCGTAGCGATTCATCCTATGGAAGTCGATCCCGGATGGGATTCATCCCACAAGTGTTGATCTCGCTGGGGACTACTCACGCCTGACACATGAGCACCATCACAGGCCATGGACTGTATCTTCTCCAATCCAGGCCTAATTTGTCTGACGTTTCCCAAGAAAGACGGATCAAGAGGGTCCACTCGGCGCCAGAAGAGACGTCTCAACTGGCCGTAGAATAATCAACCACGACCTGAATGATTTATAGTCAGCTCGTGGCTCGGGCTTGAATGCGCAGGACTGGACTTAGCTATGCGATTACAGATCAGTAATTGATGTTATTGGTGGTACAATTCATGTCATGCTGGGCACACAAATGCAGTCGACTCTTATGCCGTGCGAATCCAAACTCAATTTGCTCTGCTGCTCCGGCAAGACGTGGTGCGTTCGTTGTGTGTTGAGCGGCCTTTAGCGTCGAGTAGAGTGACCAGCCCAAGCAAGCCGGTCTGGGGGAACGCACTGAAAGAAAGGAACTGGGCATGCTGAGACCAGATGCAATGACGTCTAGTTACAAAAAGGACATGATGCTCAAACATGCATTCAAGACAAGGGGCCTCACAACATGCGCGACACACCCAAACTCCCAGCCCAGACTGCATGGGTTCAACCAGCGGCAGTCCCTGCCATCCACCATCACACCGAAGTACACGAGAGAGTCCATGCCGGCAATAAGATCATCGAAGACCTGTCAAACGTGCCCGCCACCAACCATGTTGAGTCCGGGACCTGAGTGGAGAGTCCTTCCCGAGGGGGCAATCCTCGTTGTTCGCGGAACCGGTGGCCGGAGCCGCTTATTTCGAGTCGCGGCTTGCCCGTTGCTTGCCTTATATGCTCATTAGGCCGGCCGGGTTGATGGCCCCTGATTAGTGAAAACCCCGTCCGCCGTTGCTTTGGCAAGCATAGGGATCACACATGAGGCAAGAGCCCAGGTTCACGGGCCATACATATGAGTGAGCCGTGGCTCCAAGTCTATGGAGAAGCCGGGCGGGGGGCGCTCAGGCAGCAGTGCCCTGGACTTTCCCGTCCACAGTACCGTCAAGACGGGGCGCATCGTCGCCAGTAGCAGCCTTTTCCTTGTGCCACTCCTCGGGTGTCTGACATTTTGCAGTCCAGCTGTGGGGCAGGGCCAGTCAGAAATGGGCAGACTATGACAAGAGGGGGCAACGAGGTAGGTACCCAGTTGGCGTTGATATGCTCCCAAGGTGGACCGGACTGGAATTGACTGAACTTACGCGTGGATGGCGGCAATCTCCTCCTTCAAGGCGGAGTTGACTGTAGGCATTGCGTGTCAGCGAGTGAGGGAGATGCAAGGGGATGGCAGTCACTGACCTAGGCGATGTCTCTTGAGCGAGTTCTTCCCGGCAAACTCGGGCGAGACAATCAAGGTCGAGAATGCTTGGCCACAGCCGCCTGCAAGAAAACGACAGGAGCGTCAATGCCACAGTGTATTGGGGGGGGGGGGGAGAGAGAGAGAGTGTGTGTGTGTATGTTTGTGAGAGAGAAAGAGACAGAGAGAGAGAGAGAGATGGGCGAGTTGGCTGGTGGTGATGGGAGACGAGGACGACGAACCAGACATGTCGGTGATGTCGACGTGGACGGCGTTGAGCCGCTCTATGATGGAGGCCTTGAGGGCGGCCTCTGACACTGCAGTGTTCTCCATGACCGGTGATTAGTGAACTATGTAGGGTTGCAAGCAGGCAGCTCTGGGTGGTCAAGGGTATGTGGTTGTATATATGAAGGAGGACTGGGTACTGAAGTCTAGTGTGCCGTCGTCTGGTTTGGGGAGGACCACTGTGGACGGCAAAAGATGGGAAGGTGGAGAAACTGGTGTCGGCTGCTTATCGTATTGTTGAGTGGTATGCAGGTACACACACACACACACACAACCCACACACTTACACACACATACACATACACATACACACTGTGCACTGTACGTACAGGGCACGGTACTACCTACCTACCTAAATATCTAGGTAGGTAGGGGCCGCTATCCGCTACCCACTACCCGCTACCATCTACCAGTCAATGGGACTATGGGACCTCAGGAGCTCTCGACGTCAGTCACCTAGTCTACACAGTAGACAGACAGACAGATACCTACCTACCTACCTGCCTGGGTATCTTCCTACCTGCAGCTTTCCAATGACTTTTCCCACGACACGGCTCCGCCTTATGATCCCTCATCCCCTCCGTCTCGCAATCGCAGTCCCAGTCCCAGTCCCAGCCTTCTTGCTGTCAGCCAGCCGCTCACTAGCCGTCGCCACTCGCTCTTGTCCAAGGACTCAGGGCACCCCCACCTTTACCAGAGCCTGTTCCTCGAGGCCTATCCCACTGTCGTCACGAGGAGGAATGGCCTCAGTCGCCGCGCAACCACCGCAAAACACCCCCTTTGCCCGGGCGGTGGTGCAAGCTCTAAGATCATTGTACATAGTCCCGGCCTCAAGCTCATTCGGCCCCGCTGCCTGGCATCCGGATGTGTCGAGCTGACACCCCAACTCCAGGTACCCCGAAGAGGTCGCCGACAGGGTTTGGGACAACGTCGGCTTGCTCCTGGGCAACTTCGACTCGCCCACCCAGCAGAGCCTCGGCCTGGAGCCCTCCTCCGAGCACAAGACCATCCTCCTCACCAATGACCTGAGCCCATCTGTCGCACAGGAGGCTGTCGACAAGAAGGCCTCCCTCATCGTGAGCTATCGTACGTCTGCACCCTGCGCTTTCCCCCGCCCCTTGTCCAACCTCACTGACCATCGCACCTTCTGCCAAAGACCCTTTCATCTTCAGAGGGCTCAAGTCAGTCGATCTCGTCGACCCCCAGCAAAGGCTTCTGCTCCAGCTGGCCCAGAAGAACATCGCTGTCTACTGCCCCCACACCGCCGTCGACGCTGTGCCCGGCGGCCTGAATGACTGGCTGGTCGATGTCATCTGCGGCTCACAACAGCCTCAGAGCCGTTCTGCGGTCCAGCCCACCTCGTCTCCTCCCCCAGCCGGCTTCGAAGGCGCCGGCTATGGTAGGAAAGTCGACTTTGCCCAGCCAGTCGCGGTGAGCGACCTGGTCCGTCGCCTCGCCACGGGCCTGGGCGGCCTGAAGCATGTCATGGTGGCGGCGCCCAGCCGCTTTGATGTCTCGACGGCTAGGGTGCAGTCCGCCGCTGTGTGTGCAGGCTCGGGCTGGGACGTCCTCAAGAGCTGCGCCGTCGATGTCCTCGTCACCGGCGAGATGAGCCACCACAACGCACTCCGGGCCACCATGGAGGGCAAACTGGTCATCACGGTTTTTCACAGCAATTCGGAGAGGGCATACCTTCGGCAGAGGATGCAGCCGGCCTTGGAGGCGGAACTTCACAGGACTGGCGTCGAGGCACAGATCTTGGTGAGCGAGGAGGACAAGGATCCCTTCGAGATCTGGGATGTTGAGCGCCTCACTGCCGGTTCCGCGCCATGACTGGCCAGCGGGGCCTCGGTCACTGGAATGTCTCATCTACACACGGCGCGTTGAGCATGCGTGCATGGACATATAGATATACATGTACGAGACTGGCCCGGGTGCGCAACCCACTGAATCGGGAGAGGCGAGGTGTTGGATGAGAGCGGTCCGTGTGAACCTTGGGGGACGATCTTGACTATCGTGCTGGAGCCCGGGGTATCATTTCAAGGGCACCATCCAATCTACACTCTTACGAAACAGCATCTTTGATGGCTGCATCACCCTCCGCCAGACATGCATCAACATCTGCACCGCCTACCCCCTTCTGTTTCCAAGCCACGAGCAGCTGCCTGGGCAACGCCCACGCCTGCCTCGCTTCCTCGACCTTGCCCTCTTGCACCAGTGTCCGTATCCTTTCCGGCGTTTCCAACACCCCTGCGACGAGCTCCCTGGCCCTCCTCTTCCTGTCCTGAACGTCTTGCCTGCTCTTGGCATCCTCCGGCTTCGGCGTGGACTGCCTCAGAGCGTCCCTGATTGACGAGGCCTGGGAGTAGATGTGGGCAATGGCTGGGTCGAGGGTCGCAGCCATAGGGTTCAGGGGGTCCATGTTGGAGCGCATCTGCCAAACAGACTGTCAGTCACAATTTCCCGAAGCGCCCCACAACCCACCTGGACCTGGCGGGCTGCCGTACCTTGCGTATTGTCTCGGTGGCGGTGATGAGCTTGCTGTAGTTGTCGTAGACCAGCGCCTTCTTCTCGGCGTCGAGTGCCCGGATCTCGCCCAGGACCCGCGTGTAGGTCCTGAGCAGCTCCTCCAGGCTGCTGTCCTTCAGCTTGGACTTGACGTAGGCGTCGGCGTCGAAGCCATCGGCATCGATCTCGGATGTAGGGACGTCTGAGTGGGGAAAGTCGGCGGCATCGGCCAGGGAGGCGGAGTCTGTGTCGGTGACCTCGAGCAGCGGGGGCGTGGCGGCAGCTGGGGTCTTCTTGAGATTGTAGTATTCACGGAGGGCGGCACGGTTATTGCGCTTGTTGGGTGCGGATGCGGATGCGGATGCGGACGTGGATGCGGACGGATTAGGAGAGCTGGTGGCCGATCGGGGAATGTCAAGACTCGGGCGTGTGGACGAGGTAGGAGTTACGATGGCCTGGGAGGAGGGTGTTCGCCGAAAGGCAGAATGGGGGTCTCTAGGGGAAGCTATGGTGGACATGTCGGCGGCAGCAGGCTGGTTCTGCGTTGGAGTTGGTTGATGATGACGGCGGGATGGCTACTGTGGGTGGACAATGGGAAGCTACCTAGGTGCGCTGTAAACAGCTAGCTGCAACAGTAGGTATGGTGGTAGGTGTCCCATAGATGATCGATGCGTTTGACACATGTAAGTAGTACCCCAGGTACCTGCCCGGGGGGGGGGGGGGTCTGTCTACGCAGAGGATGGCTAGGTACCTCTGATGGTTGGTGGGGCTCTACTATCCTGTTTACTGGGCTTGTAGATCGAAACACGCAGCAGCCAACAATCTTCACTCACCAGTCCCCCACTAGTACATCAATACATCAATACATCAATCAATCCTCACTTCACCCCAACATTGTATCAAAACCAGGCATTCTGCGAGTCACTTGCGGACAATCCACACGAGTTGGCAGAAAGGCTGAAACAATACAAAGGGCTGCGTGTGTGTGTGTGGGTGGGCTTGTGCACATCTGGAGGCGGTCACACTCCATACTGCACACACGCACACCTGGTTCATAATGACCCTGGTCGATCACGGAAATCATACAACTTGGATCTCAGTCCCTCGAGTACGATGAGGAGCAATATCCACTGCCCAACATGAGCCTGTCAGCCCAGATACACACCCAACTGCAGAACCTCAACCTCCCGCCGCCGTCTCAACCGTGGCTACAGGCTCTCATCTCGGCCCGCAACCCCCCTCCTCCCCTCCCTTCCTTGGTTATGACCGTCAAGACCCGACTCCTGGCCTCGGACCTCACCACTCCTGGCTTGCTCGACTCCGATTCAGTCCCAGCCATATCTCTTCCGAGCGGCATCAGCAACCCCGCCGTGCAGGAGACTCGGCTAAGCCACCATGTCTACGTCCAGGTTGCCGACATCGAGGATCTGGCAAAGAGCCGGTGGGAGCAGGTCGAGGAGCTCGAGGCCATCGAGAGGGGCGAGCAGACCCGAGGCCGAGAGATCATCCGCCTTCCTACCAACGGTGCTAATACGGACGAGCACCAGAATGGAACGGCCGATGGACCAGAGGCACAGTTATCAGCGCCGGCGACAGCAACAGCACCAGCACCAACCCCCAACAAGGCCACCCATCGACTAGTCTTGCAGGACTGCAAGGGCCAGACGGTATATGGCCTTGAGCTGACGCGTATCCCAAGGATAGCCATCGGGACACTCAACATCGGCGAGAAGATACTACTCAGAAAGGGTGCCCTCGTCGCAAGAGGGGCCATAGTACTCGAACCTACGACTTGTCACATCTTGGGTGGCAAGATCGAAGCCTGGTAAGTACTCTGGCAAAGATGCCTTGCCGCACACAATTAGGATACCCGTGCGGACGCCTCTGTCACAGTGAGAGCGCAAGAATCGACTGACATGGTCCCAGGCAGAGAGCTTGGGTGGGCAGTCGGCTCGCCAGGTTGAGGGAAGCGGCCGGTCCAGATCAGCAAGGCTGAGGAGGCTTATCAAGTCATTTTCGTAATACTGCCGCTTGCTTATGATGAACGCGCGCCAGGGCTTGTGCATGTACTGTACGCACGTGGCTGATTTATCTCCAACTTGTGGCTACGACAAGGAACAACTATCTGGGTTACATGCGCTACTGCTTGCGCACAACGCCAACAAGGTCGTGCCAACCATCTCTCATCCATGGCGCCAGCACAATCGAGACCTGCGAGTTGAGAGCTCGCCCAGTGGACCCATAAGCCTTCGCCAGATCCTCTGCGCCAAGATGACCCTTGGGTGGAATGGCCTGTGATGCCACACGGACTGCCATCTCCCTTGGAAACTCCTCACTATTGTCTGTCATGTCCCCGAGACCAGACCAGCCGTGTGGCAGATGAGGATAGAGAAGGGTGTCCGTCTGCGCCTGAGCCAGCGGTCCCTGCCCCGTACCCTCCTCCGTCAGGGCTGCAGCCGCTTGTAGAACCTCTCCTATGTACAATTGTTCCGCAGACGTGGTCTTCTCGCTTGTGCGAAGTTTCTCCAACTCAATGCGCACCGCATCAAGACTCTCTTCGTCGTCATCTAGGATCCCTATGACGCCCAGCAGGACAACCGACTGCACATGATCGGGTCTGTCGCCAATGATATCGAACAGTAGGTTGCGGGCCTTGTCTCGGGCACCCTCAGACCCTGTTGCCCACAGTACCTGGGCAAGCAGACAAGCGGCATCAGGATTGTTGTCTGATTCCTGCAGAGCAGCATCGAAGTACGCCACGGCCTCTGTCAGGTTGTTTTGATGATAGTGGGCGAGACCCACCGTCAAGTTCGCAGAGAGCCTCGCCTTCTTTCGCTCTTCTGCCCTCAATTCGTTGTCTGACTCGTCACTGCTGAGTTGCAGAGCCGTCTCGCCACAATCAACCGCTCGATCGTAAGAACCAACGGCGAGATGAGCCCTGGCGAGATCTGTCTTCGCGAGTGCAAATCTCCTTAGTGACTGCGCAGACTCAGTCACTTCGTAATCTGCTTCTAAAACAGAGCACATCTCCTCTAGGACTTTTGCCGATAACTGATGCTCATGACTCCGCTCCTGCAGCAAGGCACGCAGGTGCCCCAGGGCAAGGTTCTGTGGCTTTAGCTCTCGAAGCTGGCCTAGTGCAAAGATCGCCTGGATAAGAGATGTCATACCAGCATCCGTGGAGAACGTCGATATAGAATCAAATATTGACGTAGAGTATTGCTGTCTGGAGATGGACGACGAGGCCTCGGCAATTTCCATGGCATGGGCAAAGAGACCACGGGCTTCTTTCACATCGCCATAGATCAAGGCCACGAGGCCTTGGCCAAGCCATGCGTGGGCGTAGTCGGGGTCGGTGGATTGTGCTCTGGTGAATGCCTCGTTCGCCAACTCCAGGTCGTTCTGGAGCAGCCCAAGAGTACCTAGATTTGTCCACGCCTGAACATTTCGCTCATTCAAGTACAGGCTGCGAACAAAAGAATGTTGTGAGACAGCCGCATTGATCTGGCTTGTAATCACGCCGAGTGCGTTCCAGAACTCCGCGTTGCCAGCTTCCAGCTCTATGGCTCGCTTGAAGCATTTGATGGCGGCTTTAGAGTATCGACTAGATCTGCCCTTGAACTCCTCAGGAAGATTCAGATGCGCACGGTACTCTGCCCAACCGAGGTTGTAATATGCTACACTTTGTGCGTGCGCATCGTGAGCTGAAGCGTGAATAGCACGTTTGTGTGCAAGGATGGTAGCATGGAGAGCGCGGGTGAGATCGACACCAACTCTCTCGTCATCGGCAAATATACCTTTGGCAAATACGACATTGTGTCCAACCCCGTCGACCTCTTTCAACACTTCGAATCCTAGCGCATCATCGTTATCCCCGAGTAGTTGACGAATAATTTCGATGGGCAGATCTGTAACGTGTCCCTGGATGCTTGTAAAAATCGAGCAAGAGTCTGCCACCGTTTTCCAGAAGTTGAACGTGTTCTTGATACCTTCCGGAGCTCTGGTGGCGAACTCCAAGGCGCCCTTGGCTGTTGTCACCGCTTTACCAAAGAGGCCCTTTCTAAGACAGTCCGCTGCGCTATCAGCAAGTGTCTGCATCAGCGCAATGGCCACGCCCTCTTCGTCTGGTCTGTGCAGAGTGACATCTTGGTACAACTCAATAGAGTCGTCAAAATCACCTAGTTGGCGTTTGATATTAGCAAGCATGAACTTAGCGAACCAAGTCTCCACGTCTCCAGTGGCATCTGACATTTCCTCTAGCCTCTGCGCATTTTGGATGGCCTTGGTGGCCGAGACGTAGCGGCCGGAGCTGTAGTAACTCTCTCCGAGTCCTACCCAGGAATGATAATCGTCAGGAGATATTCGTAAAGCGGCTTGGAATGACACAACGGCTTTGTGGAAATCCTGTTTGTGCAATTCTGCGACACCAAGGGCCGCGAACGGCCAGCTGATCCCTTTCCTCTTGGAGCCCGGTGGCGGCTTGACTTTGCCCGAGTCGACAATGCGCTGAGCGACGAGCTCAACTCGATCCCAGTCAGCCTCGTCTGCAAAGGAGCGTGCGAGCCTCTCTGCAGAGACGATTTCAGATGACGACAGCTCGACTGCCTTCTGGAAGCACTTTCTGGCCCTCTTCTTGTCCTTGGCGTAGTCGGCATAATACACACCTAGGCTTGTGTACGCCGGTGCAAAGCTCAAATTGCTCTTCAGGGCTTGCAGGAAACACGAGTAGGCCCCGCCAGGTCCGCGATTTTTTCTCGCGGCCTTTGAAGGGTCCAGTGCCCAAATGCAGCTACCAAGCCGGTATAACGTCTGGGCCAAGAGGTCATGAGCGGCGTCGCTCTTGGCTGTGATCAAGGGTATGCATTGCTCAAGCTCCGCTGCGCTGGTTGAGTAATCACCCTTGAGTGCTTTCACCCAGGCTGCCTCAGACTTAACGCGGAGGTTCTCAGGATCCCTCTGGAGGGCTCGATCCAGGAAGTCAATGGCTTCGTCGTAGTCTTCCTCCTCCTCAAAAATCAAACCCACTCCGATCAGGGCAGGTGTTGATACGGGGTCGCGGCTCAACACATCGTCGAATAACTCCTTTGCCTCTTTATGATGGCGTGGAGACTGGTAGAACACCAGCGCCGTGGCGAGGTGTAGTTTGAACATGTCACTGGTGTCTTGGAAACCCATGCCTGTCTTCTCCCGCTCGTCCTTCAGCAGACGGAGAGCCTTGCGCGTTAACTCAACATTGCTCTCATGTTCCTGCAATGATTCGTAATATTCAACCACCAAACGGTGGGCGAAGAGGGATTTGGTTGTCAAAATCGCTTCTGACATCATGAGCAATCGATCCTCGTCAGTCAACGGAATGACGGTTGTTGGCGCCCCACCATCATCGTCATCCTCGCTCTCATCGCTGGCATGGCCGCCTTCGTCAGGAGTTTCAGGCTGCGGCTCGAGCTTGGGGAATGGCGAGATGTCGCTGCTGAGGTAGCCGGTGATGACTCTGCACAAGTCGCTGTCGGGGAAAAATGTGCAGTAGTCCCAAAGAACAGTGGCATCCCAGTCTCCCGTGTCCTTGCAATCCCTCCAGTCAATATTTATCTCCCATGCGAGCCTGTATGGGTGCTTGATGATGACCATATCCCTGGCTAGCTTGAGGACGACCTGTAACTCCTGCGCCTTCTCTTGGCCGTGAGGAAACGCTAGGAGGCGGTCGTGGCAGTGTTGCAGCAGCTTCTCCTCATATTGGCGACGAACCTCGTCGTCATTGGACCAATTGATGAGTTCGCGATAGATGTGGCCCAGACGGCTGCGGCCGAGCACCTCCCGCTTGACCTCGATGGTAACTTCGCTGACCTTTGCGCCGAGCCTGGTCCTCCGCTCACCGATCAAAGAATTGATCTGCTTCTTCTCGTCTGCCTCAATGATCCTGGCAACTGTCTCATACGTCTCCGCAGGGCGGGTGCGGCCCTCGACCGCCGAGTAGACAGGGCTGTCCGGTAGGGTCAAGCCCAAGGCGTCGACATACTGCTGAGCAGTGCCTTGAGCGCGGGCAAAAGCGATAAAATCGTCTACGATCTTCTGGTATTTGTAGGTTTGGTCAGAGTCCCGGAAGATCTCGGCCAAGTAGACAGTGGCAGTCTGCAGAGAAGAGAGCTTCTTTGGGCCCTGCTTCTCATAGAGCTTGATGAGACCCTGCCAGGCCTGGGGATCATTAGGTTTCAGCTTCGTGGCCGCGTCATACGTTGCCTCTGCCTCATCCAGCCTGTTGGTCTTGTCCAAAGCGAGAGCCAACAGAACGAGACTGCAGCTTTGTCAGTGAATGAAAGATAAAGTGAGGCTGAAGAGCCTCGCGCCCCCCTCCCCTCAACCGCGAGTGGCGCGATGTTTGGACATGAGCTGGGCAGTGCATGGGGCTGGTGTGACCTTACGCTTGGTAGTTTCTAGGTTCTCTCTGAGTGAAGTCCCGAGCCTGTTGGAGGGCATCGTCGTACTTCTGCTGCTTGACAGCATCGGCGATGGCCTTCAGTGCCGCCTTGGAAGACGACATGACGGTAGCTGCTTACAGGGTGTTGGGTGGACGGTGGGCAGGGGCAGAGGCGGTGTCAGGGCCAGGTTTGGTGTCATAATCTCCAGATCCCTCACGCCTGCATCATCCGGTGGTTGGTCGAATTGATGGTGCCAGAGAGGAGTGATCTGAGAGGGGGAGGGGGGCTGCGACTTCTCAGGATGATTTGTTGGTTTCGCAAGAGCGAAGGTCGTCTAGATTGACCAAGTACCTACGGTGGGTTCACCTGTACGAGCACTGCAGTGCTGTCTAGGCGACCCTTGGCCTGCAATTCAATGACGTTGGAGTTCTGGCCTAGGTACCCAGGTACTTGGGTGCCCGAGAATCTTGGGCGGAGGGGCGCGCCAGCATATCCGACCTGCCCACCTATCTAATCGATAAGGAATAAATTTCCATGCTTTCTTGCTCTCTAACAACTTTGCCTCGCCTTGCCTGATCGTGCACTGCGTTCTCACTCCAAACACAGACCTGCACACTTCCTCTTGAAACTCTCTGTCTGCGTGGGCGAGTAGCCGCGACTAGGACACCCGTCTTTCCAGCATGGACATGGACTCGAACCCTGCGAAACGAAGGAAACTAGACCACGAGTCCCACGGTCTCGTCGCAAATGGCAGCGCCGCTCTGGATGCCGCCGCCCAAGCAGGCACTCCCCGACCAAGCACCTTCGCTTTGCAGGCCCAAGAACTTTTGAACGAGGTTCGCCTGGACTACAGCAAGACCTTCGCCGGTGCCGACGATCTTTTGCACCGCATCAAGTCCACTATCGAAGAAACCAAGCCTCATGGCCCTACTCCCGTGAGCGCATCTGCCCGTCCAGCCCCACGACCCACCTAACCACCTTCCTTGCTTTGCAGATTCACCAGGCTTCCAAGAGCCTCGAGGCGACACAAGGTCTGCTCGTGCCCTTTCCCGATCCAGGACCGTCCCAAGATTCGCACTACAAGGTCTCATTCGCCGCTCCGGCTCAGTTCAATGTTGTCGGAAGCTACGTCTCCAAGACAATGGTCAGATCCCAAGGCCGCCATGCCATTGACATGATTGTCGAGATGCCCAAGGACATCTTTCAAGACAAGGACTACCTCGACCTCAGATATTTCTACAAGAGGGCCTACTACCTAGCCGTCCTGACCGCCTCCGTCCGCAACGAGCTTGGCTCTACTGTTGTGTTCGCCTACGAATATTGCAGTGGAAACCGCCTGCTGCCCATCCTCAACCTGGCCTTGGAGAACCACACAAACGGGTACCATATACGGATCATTCCGTGCGCACCACAAGGCTTGTGCCCAAGCCGGAAGCTCTTGCCTACGGCCTGTTGCATTCGGTCTGTCCCAGATGTCGGCGGGGACCCCAGAGCCCCAACACCTTTCTACAACTCTACATTGAAGGCCGAGATGTGCTACTTCAGCTATCTCAAGGTCCTTCGCCAGGCAGAGAAGGCTTGCGCGGCCTTCAGAGACGCCTGTATTCTAGGGCGTATCTGGCTACTCCAACGCGGCTTTGGGGGCTCGCTTTCCAGAGGGGGGTTCGGTCACTTCGAATGGGCGATTCTCACCGCGCTGCTATTACAAGGCGGAGGTCGGAGGGGGGTTGCGCCTCTGTCCTCCTCATTCAGCGCCACCCAAATTTTCAAGGCTGTTGTACAGTATCTCGCCACTGTTGATCTTTGTCGCAAGCCTCCCGTCCTCGGCTCATCTAACGACGGGCTGGATGCTCTGAAAGAATCCGGGCCAATCATTCTCGACGCCGCTCGACAGCTCAATCTGGCCTATAAGATGAGTGATTGCTCTGCGTTCACACTGCAACAACACGCCAGGTGGACGCAAGCATCGCTGGCTGATCAGGCTGCTGACCAGTTCAATCCGACCTTTATCATTAAGGCTAATATGCCTCTTCACAGCTATGACGCTCTCGTACAGATTATGTACCCACAAAGCACAGATGCGCACAACACTGGCGATTACCGGGGTCTGGCGGCCCAACGTGGGGACCAGGCCATGGATGTCCTGAGAAGAGCACTGGGCGATAGAGTGCAGCTCATACATGTAGAAAGCGGCGACGATTCGAGTGAAGCTGCCTGGGAACTCACTTCGTCACCGCCTTCGAGTCCCCCTCACTTGCTGGTGGGGGCGCTCTTCAATACGGCCAACATGGCGAGACAAGTTGACCAAGGTCCTTCGGTTGAGGACAAACAAGCCGCAAAAGAGTTCCGTCGATTCTGGGGTCAAAAAGCTGAATTGAGACGCTTTAAGGATGGTAGTATCCTAGAGAGCTTGATTTGGACGCAAGCTTCGCCGCTAAGCCTCTGGGAAGAGATCACCCGGTATGCTCTCAAATTGCACCTGCAGATACAGGATGATCATCTTGAGTACTACGGGGCCGACTTTTCAGCAATAATCCCTATCAAAGCCTCCGACACGTCTGCGTTCCAAGCTGCCAGGGAGGCCTTCACTATGTTTGAGGCGGATTTACGTGGACTGAGCCATCTTCCCCTCCAGATCAGGCAAGTGTCCGCGGCAGCACCCGAACTACGGTCTGCGTCGGTGCGGCCGCCATCTTTTAGCACTTCAAGAGACACAACGCTGCCGATGGACACCATAGTCTACTTCGAAGCCTCGGGCAAGTGGCCTGACAATCTAGCTGCGATACAGCGAACGAAAGTTGCCTTTCTACTAAGAATTGGCGAGCTCCTTACCGAGTCCAGGGCCGGAGTGGCTTGCCGCGTTGGGCTGGAGGACGCACAAACGGAAATAGAGAACCTGGCTTTCCTGGATATTACGTATGAGGGGGGCACCTCTTTCCGTTTGAGGATACACAGTGATCTCGAGGAGAGTCTGCTGCAGAGGCGAACCGGGGAAAAGACTCTCAACCAGCACGTGCGAACCCAAAGTGCTCAGTTGCATATCTCATTCAAACGCATTTACACACTTCTCCCGCTTCACACGCAGACAATGTTGATACTCTGCACTCGGTTCCCCGCCTTATCCGCTACTATCAGGTTGGTGAAACACTGGTTCAACTCCCACAAGCTCTCGTGCCATTTCTCGGAGGAACTGGTGGAGCTGTTTGCCTTGCGAGTCTTCCTGGAGCCTTATCCGTGGCAAGCACCATCGAGTGCCATGACAGGTTTTCTACGAACGCTGCAATTCTTGTCCAGGTGGGACTGGCGGACGGAGCCGCTGGTTCTGGACTCGACTGGGGAGCTCCCAGGGTCTGAGCGGTCCGCTGTCGCTACAAGGTTGGAGGCCTGGCGCAAGATCGATCCTGGCATGAGCCACACAACGATGGTTGTAGCCACGTCTCAAGATACCTCTGGCACCGCCTACACCATAAAAGATGGGCAGCCTCTGCCGTCGAGAGTCATTGCCACCCGTATGACCACACTGGCAAGATCAGCGTGCAAGCTCGTTAAAGCTGAAGGAGTTGGTCTGGAAACGAGGAAACTCTTCTTGCCTTCCTTGAAAGACTACGACGTCCTGATTCGCTTAAGCGGCAAGGCTATGAGAAGAGCTGCCAGCTCTAATGATGCATTGAAACAGTCACAGTTCAAGAATCTGGATGGCCGAACTGGGCGGGCAATGCAACCTGCGCTTCAGCAACCAGTCAGAACTTTGCTGATGCAACTCAACAACCTCTTCTCCGAGCCGCTTCTCTTTTTCCACGGTGCACCAGAAGACACGGTCATAGCTGCAATTTGGAACCCTCAAATAAAGCGGCGGACATTTAGGGTCAACCTCCCTTGCTCATTCAAACCCGAGGCATGCAAAGACAAGGAGGAAGTTGGTACGAGTGATGAGCGTGTTAATGTTAACCGAGAAGCAATCATTGCCGAGGTCGCCAGAGTAGGTGGGGACCTAATTGAGGGAATAGAGTTGTCGAAATAGCTCTGGTCTACCGAGGCCCAGAGTGTGGAATATTGGTCATGTAATATTCATACCAGTTCATACACTACTCTTAACACATCTGTGAATAGTGAATAATGGTCTAAGGCAAGCCTGACTAAGCACTACCTGATCTTTACATGTGTGTGATAATTATAAAGCTGGTGAAAGCTGGTATTCACAATGGAATGAGTGTGTGGCTCAGCGAGTGTATTGATTTGAACCTATAGATAATTGACAGTCTCCAGGCGTATTGAGCATCTGCAAAATCTCGTCAAATACAAGAGATCGCTTTGCTTCATACATGTTTGCAAACAATGTTACCAAATGTTTCCTGCCGGGCGAGAATGAGTGACAGACAGGCAGTGATACTTCTCAACAGGCGACCGAAGTCCAGAAACCTTGACTTGAGTAGTCCCTGGCTTACTTCTCATTCTCGGCCTTCCTGAGGTCGAAGACTCGGAGCGCTTCTTCAGCCGCCTTTACTCCACTCAGCGCCATGGCACCAAACGTAGGTCCTATTCGAGGTCAGCGTTTCTGCCAAGGCAAGGCCACTATCTTGAGATGGCTCACCCATGCGATTGGCTCCATCAACCTCAGAAAGCTCCATTCCTCCCACGATGAGACCTGGTATAATCTCCCTGGTGCCTTTGACAATTGCGTCCTCTGCCGTCTGCATATCAAGACCACGCATTCCACCGAGTTGCTCCAATTGTTTCATGCTAACGAGTCGCTTCACAGAGAAGGCACCAAACGGGCCGTCATGCCCAGTAGTGCTGATGATCAGCGGGGCGTTGATGGTGTTGGGGTCCATGCAAGACTGATCGTCGTGGTGCATCGAAACCAGAGTCCAGTTTGTAACCACACCTGCAATGCGCACATCACCAGCTCCACCAGCGGAGCGACGAGTGATAAGATCCTCGACAGTGGTAGCATTGAAGAGCTTGATGTTGGGGAACTGTAGCACTTTGGACAGAATAGTCGAGGTGAACAGTGCTGCATGCTTGACCACAACGAAATTGCCCTCGTCCTCAAACGGGATGCCGAGATCAGTCAGGAAGACGTCCTGCAAGCTAATCAGCTGTCAAGAACACAAACGCGGAGCCAGGGCGGTTGACTCCATTGTTGAGCTTTACTCACAGCCGGCTTGCGCATGACCATGGCCGAGAATAACTATTCCGTGGCTTAAGTTAGTAAGAAGCAGACCCCCTAGTTCGAGATCGAGGCACATTCGCCCAACAGCTCGGAGGCTGCCACGGGCACGACTCCGATCTGGGCATGTATGCTCGTAGACGTATAATGAAAAAAATCATGGTAACTCACCTGACCACCCAGCCACGCACCACCGCCGGGCGCGACGCCAGCTTCAATAATTGCAATCTTGAGATCAGGCCGCAGCTTTCCGAGCGTGTAGGCAGCCGATAAACCGCAAGATCCCGCGCCGATGATCACAATGTCAGACTCCGCATATGAGTCCAAATCCGAGAAGTATCGGCTGGTCATCGCACGGGATACTTGGCTCTCGCGAATCGGCGAGAAGGTGAACGAGGCCCACTGGCCCATCATGCTGTCGATGGCCTTAGTATTGGCATCAGGGATGCCACTGTCCTTCTTGACGCCCTTGACAGCCAGGCTGCCCGTGGCAGAATCGGCCGTCGTCACGATGGCAGAGGGAGCCATTGTATGTCTAACATATCTTTGTTAGCTTTAGCTGTCCTCTCAAGATTAGGGAGGATAACGCATGATCCTTTCGCTGGTATTATCCAAGATCAAGTTCCCAAGCCGTATAATCTCAGCCGCTCCACCACGCCCAAGAGTCTCTCGAGTCCTGCAATGCAAGGAGTCTCAAAATGACCATGGCACGAGGGGATTGGCACCGGCTCATGCGTGCTAACTTTACCTGGATACTGATCATTTTGGATGACATGACCAATGAAAGACCTCATGGCTCAGGTTGAGGGACGGTAGTACCGAGCAGTACGTTGCCCTTGGTCAGTGTCAGTCTATGTGCTTGTATAATCACATCGTGTTCAATTGGGTGAGGTACTTTGCGACGAAGATTTGTAAGTTGCTGGGGAAGGTGGCTATGTGAAATCGCCGGGAAGAAAGATGAGGATAGAGATCAGAATGGGTTGAGGCACAAAACCTTCAGGTGAGGGGTTGGAGTTGAGTTTTTATAGTGGACTGACAGCTCCGTTGTCCTCCGCGAGCGGAACTGATTATGATTCACTAATCGTTCTTCTCCTCGGATATGACGACATTGTGCAGCAACACAGCCAGAGGAAGGGATGTATCATAGATTTTAAAACCTTCATTGCTGCAGCCAGCTAGCAAGCACTTCGCAGCTGTGACGGTACGGCTCTTATATACTGCTGAATAGCCAATCTGGCGATTGGTTATTATGGTCTTTTGGCCGGCACACTTGATTTGTAGCAGTAGTCAAGCTTCGTGTCAGCAGCTAGCATATAACTAAATTAAATAATTAAATAATATTACTGTTTATAATAAATAAATTAATTTTTAAAATATTTATTTAGTAATTTAAATAAAATATATAATTTAAATATTAAAATTTATTTATAATTTAAATATTAAAATTTATTTATAATTAAAAATATATTTTTTTTAATTTTTTTTAAATTAATAATAATATAAAATAAATAATATTATTATTTTAAATTTTAAATATAAATTTAATATATTTTTAAAGTATTTAAACTTATATATATAATATAATAATTTATTAAAAATAATAATTAATTTAATACTTAATTTTATTAAAAAATAAATTATTTATTATTATAAATAATTTAATATATTTTATTTAATTTTTATATTTTATAAATAAAAATAAAAGTTTTTTAAATTTAATTAATATATAATTATATTTTAAAAAAAGTTTTATATAAAAATAATATAAAATTATATTATAAGTAATTATTATTAATTATTAATTTTAAATTTTAATAAAAATTATTTTTATATTAATTTATTTTTATATTTTTTATATTAATATTATTATTTAATAAATTAAAATTATTATAATTAAAAAGTTTTTTTATTAAAAAAATAATTTAAATAAGTTTTAAAATAAATATAATAATTTAAAATATAATATTTTAATAATAAAAACTTTTTAAATTTTTATTATTTTAAAAAATAAATTTATTAATATTATTTTATTAAATTTTATTTTTATAATTAATTTTATTAATTTAATAAAATATTTTATAATTTATTAGTTTTTTTAATTTTAATTTTAATTAAAATATTATTTATACTTTATAGTATATAAGCTTGAAATTTATATTAAATTATATTAAATTATATAAATTTTAAAAGTAAGCTAGCTTAAAAAAAAAAGCTTTAATAAAGCTTTTAAAGCTATAGCTGTAGAATAAACAAGCTTTATTAATAAAAGAGTTTTATAAAAACTTATTCAAAGGCTTATAAAAACTAACTGCTTTAACTATAGCTATTAGCTTTAATTTACCCCTTTTTTTTAAAAAAAATATAAAAAATATTAAAGCTTTTTTAACCTTATAATTAAATTAGTAACTTTTATACTTTTTATTTAAAAAACACTTACTTTTATAGCTATTTTTATAATAATTAATAAATTATTATAATTATAATATTTTTTTAGTATTTTTTAAAGTTAATTATTAAATACTATTAAGTTTAATATAAAGTTAAAAGTAAATATAATAATTTTAGTATTTTATTTTATTAATATTTAATTAATTAATAAAAATAGTTAGTTATAAATTAAATTATATTTTTTCTATACTTAGCTATTAATAATAGCTTTTAATTAAGCAAGTAGTTTTATTTTTGCTTAAATATACTATAAGTAATTTATAATATATATTTTTAATTATTTTTATATAAAAGTTTAATTAGTTTTTAATAGCTTTTTTATTTAATTATAGTAAACTTTTAAAGTTAAATATTTTTAATTAGTTTTTAATAAAGTATTTATTAAATTTAGTTTAAATTATACTAATAAAAGTAAAAAATAAGATTTAATAAGCTTATTTATATTATAAATTTTAATAAAATTAAAGAATATAAAGTTAAGCTTTATTACTATTAATTTTTACTAAGTTAATTATATTTATTAAATAAAAAGATATTTATTTTAATAAACTAATTTTATTAAAAAGTTTTAATTATATAGTAAGTATTATACCTTTTTTAAAAAAATTAAATATTAACTATATAGTTTTTTATATTTAATTAATAAATAATAATAAAATAAAATTATAATATATTTTTTTAATATTAAAGTATATTAATATTTAATAACTAATTATAATTTTAAAAAAAGTATATTATATATTTATTAATTTAATATTTTAAAATTATAATAAATAAATTATTACTAATAGTTTTTTATTATAAATACTATAATTTATTTTAGCTATTATTATAGTTTTAAAAAAGTATTTAATAAATATTTAGTTATTTTTATAATATTATAATAGTATTAGCTAATATATTATTTAAGGTATTTATTTTTAAAAATATTTTATAGCTATAATAAAAATAAGCTAAAATAAGTAATTTAAATAATATAATTTTAAATTATTTAAAAAAAGTTTTATATTTTTATAATTAATAAAAACCTTTTTTTTATAAGTTAAATTTAATAAAAGTTTAATACTTTTATTAAATTTTAAAATAAATTTATAATAAAAATTATAAAATTTAAAAAAGAAACTATATATTTTTTATAATAGTAAAAGCTTTTTATTAATTAATAGCTTTAAGCTTTATTAGGTTTATAGTAATGCTAAAGATATCAATAATAAACTTTAAAAACTTAGTTTAAATTATATAAAACTTACACTTTTTAAATTAGCTTATAAGCTTATATTATATAGTTTATATAAAACTTTAATTATATACTAAATATATTTTTCTTCAAAATTTAAATAAATAATAAAATTATTAATATAAATATAATAAAAGTTATTTAAATAATTTATAAATAATTTATTAATATATTATTAAAAGCTAGCTAGTTTATTAATAAGCTTAAAAAGTATAACTTTAAACTTATAAAAATTTTATTATAATTAAAAAGCTATTAAATTTTTATTATTTAAATTTATATAAATTTAATAAAAAGCTTATTAAATATTAATTTTTATAAAAATAACAGCTTTTTTTAAGTTTATTATAATATTATTAATAAAAAGTAATAAATATTTACTTTTTATTATTATATTATTTAATTTATAATAATTAATATAAAAGTATAATTTATTTTTAAGCTTTATAGCTATAAGAATTAATAATATAAATTTTTTATATAAATTATTTAAATTATAAGTATAAATAATTTTAAACTTTTTATAAAATATTTACTTTAAAATAATATATTTAATTACTTTTTTAATTATTTTATTATTTATAATTATTTTTTTAAAAAAATTTTATATTAAAAGTATAAATTTTAATATTATATATATACATTTATATAATACTATTTTTTTATAATATATAGTTTTTATATATTAAGTTTACTAAGGTATTTTAATTTTTCTTTTTGTTTTATTACTTCTTTTTCTATTATAATATTAGTAGTAGTAGGGTTATTAAAGGTAGAAGAATACTGTGTAATATATTATTTATTTTTTATTCTTTATTAGAATTTGCTTAAAAGTATAGCCAGCGGATTTTAGATTTTTAGCCTTTAGCTATTTAATATACTCCTATATTTTTAATATAAATAAGCTTTTTTTATTTATACTTATTAAAGTTTGTTAATATATCATTTTTTATAGTATAAAGCTTAACCTTTTTTAAAAAAAAAGTTATTTAATTAACTAAAAAGTTTATAATTAGCTTACTTTAAATTTAAAATTAAAGTATTAATAATATATATTAATTACAGTATTAAAGTTTATAAACTAGTATTTACTAATAATTACTTTATATAGTATATTTAAAATAATTAGTAATAGCTTTTAATATAGTTTTTTTTTAAAATAGTAAAGTCTTTTATTAAAATAGTATTTAATATTTATAAAGGCTTTTTATTAAAACTTTAAGCTATTTTTAATTTAAAACTTATTAATTATAATAATTAAAGGTTATAATATAATTATATAGTTAACAGAATATTTATAAGAATTAATTTATTTACTTTTAAATTTATTAAAGCTTTTATAATAATTATAGTTAAATTTAAAGTTATAATATATTTTAAAATTATAAGATTTTTTTAATATTTATTTTAAAATGTTTAAAGGTAATATATCTTTTAATTTTAAATCTTTATAATTTTTTAATACTATTGTCTTTATAATAAATATATATATTAAAATAAAATATATCCTTAAGGTTAAGCATTTTTTTAATTTATAGCCTTATATATTTAATTATTATTACTAATTATATTAACTACTTTCTAGCTACTTTTATAATTATAAAAAGTATTAATAACTATCAGTTTATTTTTATAGTGCTTATTATAAAAAAAAAGTTTTTAATAATATATTTAAGCTTATTATAAATATAACATTTTTTTAGCTTTCTAGCTATAGCTTATTATAAGCTATTATTATTATTATACTTTTATTCTAATTTAATATTATAATTTAAGTAATATTAATTTTAAATATTATTAAAAATATTTTAATTATATATTTATAATATTTTTAGTTTAATATATTTAAAAATATTATTAAATTAATTTTATTATTATTATATTTTATTTTATTATAGTAAGTGTTTTTAATAGCTACTTTTATACTTTTTTATAATATAAGTATATTTTATAATAATTATTTAAGTATTTTAATTAGGTTTTTATTATTTAATTTAAAATATTAATTTTATTTTATTTTTAATATTAACTTTTAATTCCTTTTCTTACTTTAATACCTTATATAAAATAATCTTTTT